AAGAATTTTTAAAAAGATCAAATAAAATAATGACAATTAATAAAATTAATTCTTTTTTAAAAAAGCTTCTGATCAGGCTACAGAATTGAGCCCCACCCACCCCAGCCAAGCCTGACCCCCTGCCCGTCTACATACTAAGTGGCAGAGCTTCTCTCACCTCGCAGGAAATCACGTCTTCACATACCAGGTCAACATCCCTTTCACCGTTTGATCCCGAACTGAGTTTCTGGGACTCCACTCCCACATCCAAAGATTCATTCTTGTCCTCTGCACTGGTCCCTAAGGGGTTGGAAAAGCTGGGGGCTGAGCTCAGGATGCCTGGGTCCTGGAAGTTTAGGAAGTGGCCATCATGCTAGCTAGATAAGGCTGAACTCAGGGCTCCTCAGCCCCCATGCATTACTCATCACCTCCTCCTGCCCCAGGCACATGGGGAGCCTAAAAGGACCAAGGAGTTTCAGGTTGCACTGGGCCTGAGGACAGCGAGGGTTCGAGTCTGTCTCCCTCAGCCTAGAGAAAACACTGTTTGAAAGATAAATTGGGGTCACTGGAATCACAGGCCATGCCATGAGAATAAAAGGAAATCTGGGAACCAGCAGTTAGTGTAATGGCTATGTCACTGGACTCCCACGTAGTCAACCACGGTTCGCGTCCCGGACCCGGTGGCTTAAAACTCACGCCGGGTACGTGTGCATGCGTGCCCAAGATCCCGAGAGGAGAATGGAGGAGAAGGGATTGCGGTGTGACCATCCCCCCTGGGGGGTGATTTCTCGCTTTCTGTCTCTCTGTCTCTCTCTGTCTGGTGAGCGCACGCGCCCTATAGCAAAAACCTCTCCCCCCCCCAAAAAAAAGAATAGAAGGAAATGTTAGCACAATGGGAATAAAAAGGAAGTAGCAGAAATGCTACAACATGGAAGACACAAATAACCATGTCTTTATTATGTTTTTTTAAATAATTATTTTCTTTAACTTTATTATTTATTTATTTTAATTTGACCAGATGGAGACAGAGTGAGAAAGAGAAAGAGAGAGAGGGAAAGTGAGAAAGCAAGCCATCAGGTCCAGGACTCGAACTACAGTCAGCCAAGTGGGAGTCCAGTGCCTTATTCATCATACCACCTGTTGGCCCTACAAGTTTATTTTAACCCAAAACATTTTTTTGAATTCCATGAACAGTTTTTCATAATATAGGCTTTCCATGAAATTTTAGAAGACCCCCTGTATGCATATACGTATCTAACTAAAAAATAAAAATAAAAAAAGCAAATATCTACCTTTGCTACAAAAAAATGCACTCTGATGTTTTGCACATTATTCTATTTCTTTCTTAATGTCAATGTTATTCTACTACATAGATTTCAGAACCAACTTACAACTTCAAAAACAATGGTTTAGTGATTACTGAGCTTAAGATGAGGTTCTTGTATAATATCCAGGAATACAATCAGCTGTCAGGCAGATAAATCAATTTTTAGTTCAGGAAGCATGTGGATGAAAACACAGAACTGAAATGCTTTAACACATGTGTAATCCATGAAATAGGTTATGTGAGCAAAGAGATGCATGGGATAAGTGTTGAAGTCGTGTGTATCTCTAATACTTGTTAATTCTTTCTGGACAACTCAATTAACATCTCAAGGATGTTAATTATTTTTCAATCCATTCAAATGTCAAAGCAGGGCTCACTTTTAGTTCTACTCTTTGAGTGTTACACATTGTTTTCTTCAAAATGCAAGTAAGAATTCTTAGATTCTCATAGCGGCCCCAATGTGCAGGGATGAAGCCCTGTGAATAAGGAGCTATTTCTCAAATGGCCAACTGCAGTTTTGAATCGCAGTTCCAGGACCTTGAAAAACACACCAGTTATGAACACATGTGTGCCACGAATCCTGATGGTAGGAGAAATGGAGGAAAGGGGACTCTGGCATGATTATGTTCCATTGAGGAATATTCTTTCTCTTTCTCTCTCTGGTGAGTGCATGAATCCTTGGGCAATTAAAAAAGTTAGGAAACTTAGGTTCTTAATAATAGTTTATTCTGAGCTTTCCAATGCTGTTTCCTAACCTCTTTCCCATAACTGACCATTATCTAACTTAGTTTTTCTTCAATAAAAGTTTACTGGGAAAACTATAATATAGAACTCAGTTAAAAAATAATCCTACAAGCACTTAGCTTCTGTATTTTAACAGAAGAAAGTGTACAGTTGAACTCAGTAGTCAACCACGGTTCGCGTCCCGGACCCGGTGGCTTAAAACTCACGCCGGGTACGTGTGCATGCGTGCCCAAGATCCCGAGAGGAGAATGGAGGAGGATGGGAATAAAAAGGAAGTAGCAGAAATGCTACAACATGGAAGACACAAATAACCATGTCTTTATTATGTTTTTTTAAATAATTATTTTCTTTAACTTTATTATTTATTTATTTTAATTTGGCCAGATGGAGACAGAGTGAGAAAGAGAAAGAGAGAGAGGGAAAGTGAGAAAGCAAGCCATCAGGTCCAGGACTCGAACTACAGTCAGCCAAGTGGGAGTCTAGTGCCTTATTCATCATACCACCTGTTGGCCCTACAAGTTTATTTTAACCCAAAACATTTTTTTGAATTTTATTTACTTATTTTAATTTGACCAGAAGACAGAGAGTGAGAAAGTAAGCCACCAGGTCCAGGACTTGAACCACAGTTGGCCATGTGAGAGTCCAGTGGCCTTAACTACCATGCTACCTGCTGGCCCCAATAAAGTCTTTATTATGTAAAGTGTCCAGAACAGGCCAATGTGGAGAAGGACTGTGGGCCAAGGGAACTGGAAAGAGGCAACTGCTAAAAGGAACGTGACTTAACACAGGGGTGATGGCCGCATGATTACAAATGTACTAAAATAACCCCCAGAACTGTAACCTTTAAATGGGAGAAAGGTACAGCATGCGAATTCTGTTTCAACAAAGCTTTTATCAGAAAGGATGCAGGGACCAGCAGTTAGAGTAATGGTTATGTTGCTAGACTCCCATGCAGTCGACTGCAGTTCGCGTCCCGGACCCGGTGGCTTAAAACTCACACCGGGCACATGGGCGTGCGTGCCCAAGATCCCGAGGGGAGAACGGAGGAGAAGGGATTGCGGCATGGCCATCTCCCCTGGGGGGTGATTTCTTGCTTTCTGTCTCTCTGTCTCTCTGTCTGTCTGGCGAGCGCATGTGCCCTATAGCAAAAACCTCTTCAAAAAAAAAAAAAAAGAAAGAAAGAAAGGATGTGGCATGGGATTTCCCTCTAACACCCCTGAAATTACCAGGTCGTCGTCGGGCTGGCCAACCCCTGCGACAAATTCTCAGAGGCTCTTTATAAGCTGGTGAAGTTTCAGGAACATCCTCCACGGAGACTTCCTCCAACTCGGGATCGGAACTGTCTGGGAAACGACCAGGACCCCTGAGTACTGAGGAAGCAAGGGCTGCAGCCTCAGACTCTGGGGTGTTGGAGGACGGGGCGGAAGGATGAGGTCTCAAACTCCTAGTCCTTTGGGGAACAAGAGTGGAGGTCCTAGTGGGAGTGGAGTTCTGGGGTCAGAGGAGTTCATGAGGGGCCCAAGGACTGGCGGTTACCTGCTTCAATCCCGGACGCCAGGGGGCTGCACTGACCACTGGCATCTCCATCGCAGTGTACGGTGCTGAGGGCACTGGGGGTGCCAGAGCGCAGGTGAGCCTGGGGCACGTTCTCCTGCAGGTGAGGATTTCCGAGGCCTGGGAAAGGTGTAGTGAGGCCCATTAAAGTTCTGTCCCAGGGACCAGCAGATGACACAGTTACGTGGCTGGACTCCCACACAGTCAGCGGTTCGAGTCCCAGACCTAGTCCCAGTCCCAGACCCAGTACCACTTGAAATTCATGCCAGGCGCCTATGCATGTGTACCCAAGATCTGGAGAGGAGAGTGAAGAGAAGGGGTTGTGGCATGGCCATTCCCCTGGGGGGCTGGTTTCTCGCTTTCTGTCTCTCTGTCTTGCTCTCCCCAGTGAGTGCATGTGACCTATAGCAAAAATCTCTCTCGGGGCCAGCAGGTAGCATGGTGGCTAAAGGCGCTGGATTCCCATATGGCTGACCGTGGTTTGAGGCCCAGATCTGGCAGCTTGCTTTCTTAGTTTCCTTTTCTCTCTCTGTCTCTCTCTGGCCAAATTAAAAAATAACAACTAATAGAATTAAATAGTTCTTCAAAATCTCTCTCTCTCTTTTTAAATAATTATTTTATTCAAGTTTATCATTTTTAAAGAATAATTTTATTTAACTTTATTTATTTATTTTTTTTTTTTTTTTGAGAGGTTTTTGCTACAGGGCGCGTGCGCTCGCCAGACAGACAGAGAGACAGAGAGACAGAAAGCGAGAAATCACCCCCCAGGGGGGATGGCCACGCCGCAATCCCTTCTCCTCCATTCTCCTCTCGGGATCTTGGGCACGCACGCACACGCGCCCGGCGTGAGTTTAAGCCACCGGGTCTGGGACTCGAACCGCGGTCGACTACGTGGGAGTCCAGCGACATAGCCATTACGCTAACTGCTGGTCCCTTTATTTTTATTTTTAATTTGACCACTGAGGGACAGAGTGAGGACAAGAGAGAGAGAAAGCGAGAAAACAAGCCGCCAGGTCCTGGACTCGAACCTTGGTTGGTCACGTGGGAATCCAGCACCCTTAACCACCACACCACCTGCTAGCACCCCACCGCCCGCCCTTATTTTCTAAAATTTGAGGAGAGAGAAAGTGAGAAAGCAAGCCACCAGGTTCGGGACTCAAACCGCAGTCATCCATGTGGGAATCCAACACCCTTAACCACTACAGCATCTACCAGCCCCCAAAAATTTCTCTTAAAAAAAATCTGTACCAAACAAGATTTACTTCCTCACTGGGCTCCCAGACATCGCCCTGATTCACTGACTCCTCAAACTCCTGAGATTCCTCCAGAACCCCGAATCCATCCTAAGGCTCAAATAAGCAGTCATTGCCGGCTCCTGGGTGGGAAGACCTGAAGAATCGCAATCCCGCTCCGGGCTCTCACCACCCTCCAGGACTGCTCCCAATTGCACACAAGCCCAGGCTGACTCCATGAGGCCCTGCCCCTAGCTTCCACGCACACCCGTTTCTCCTGCCCATCACCCCACAGGAGCCTTCCCTCACCACTGTCGCCGGGCCGCCATGGTCGTCGGAACCTCAGGGAAGCATCGGGGTTTGCCTGAACCATGAGGGGTTCCTGGCGCTTCCGTCGTTGCTTCTTTTCAAACAGCCGCCACTGTGGGAGCAGGAGCCGGTGTGGGGACCAGGCACCAGAGGGGAAGACAGTGGTGAGGTGTGGCCTGGGCCCACCTGTGTGGGCCATGCAGTGAACCCCCTCCTCCATTTGGTGTGGAGGCCCTCAGCCTCTCCTCCAAAGCCTCAGACCCCAAAGCACCACATCCAGCCTCCACCTCCCCACGGTCTAGGAGCCCTTGTTCCTTAGAAATCATGGGGTCCCTAGACCAGCAGGTGGTGCAGTGGCTAAGGCCCTGGACACTCCCACATGGCCAACCTCAGTTCGAGTCTTGGACCTGGTGGCTTGCTTTCTCACTTTCCTTCTCTTGCTCTCTGTCTCTCTCTCTGGCCAAATTAAAATAAATAAATGAATAGATAAAAAAATAAATAATTATTTTCTCTAAATAATTATTTTATTTAACTTTAATTTCATTTGACCAGACAGGGACAGAGTAAGAGAGATGGAAAGTGAGAAAGCAAGCTGCCAGGTCCAGGACTCGAACCTTAGTTAGCCATGTGGACCTAAGTCAGAGACCTTAGCCACTACTCCACATGCCAGTCCTTAAGTAATTATTTATTTATTTATTTTTGAGAGGTTTTTGCTATAGGGTGTGTGCACTCGCCAGACAGACAGAGAGACAGAAAGCGAGAAATC